CGTCTTAGGATGGGGGACATCATTGATGGATCAAATCCATGCCTCAAATAGGACTGCAGAAGCTGGTCGAGATCGGCTTCACGTTGTTCCAACGGCCAGGACGCACGAGCAATCAAGTGGGCTCTCGATCGAAAGCTGCTCAACAACGTCCTTGTATTAGCCGCAGATTTGAAATGCAGAAACTTCCAGGATTCAGTAGGTTGAACATACTGCACTCGTAGCTGTTGTATGTCCACATGGAAACCCAAGAATAGGTTCCCATCTTCATACTCTAATACGATGGGCGGTATATACACATCTTGATGCAGAAAAGCCTGCACAGCAACAGAACTGGCGTTTCGATCAAAAATCAAGCTCAGCCGATTATCCACGTATCTAACAACGAGGCCATACGTTGGCAAGCGAGCGGACTCCAGAAGACATTTGCCAAAGTACATATGCTCATACAAGTTCACCACAGCATGACAGGCTGCGGGGGAGAAATGGCTCCCCATCGGCGCCCCTCTGATCTGTTGAATGGCCTGCTGTCCTACCACAAATAGGTTGAACTTGAACGACACCTGCACAGCTTCCATGAATATGAATAAATCCATGGGGACGGCCGTCTTCTTGTCATGCAGCAAACAGTGCCGACCGCGAATAGTTTTCATAACAGACAAGTTGTTTTCCAAGTCCACGGTCACTACAGCACCTTTCAAGGCTTCGTCCAAATCTTCGTCCACCACATCGTAGAAGCGACAAAGTAGAATACAGAAGGTGATCAGAAACCGTTCCCTCGGAATGCTCACAAAAAAGCCTGACAAGTCTTGATTGTGCATGGCGATTGTCTGTCGACCGTCCTCAAGGCCGTGGCAACTGTTCTCAAAGAAGGCATGTATATTCTGCCACAACAAGATTGCATCGTTGTAGGATCTCGTGTGGGGACAGACTTCAGCAACAAGCATCTCCGTGACCTTTGCCATCACAACCAAGAACTGGCGAGCCGGGTGAGATGCAAAACTAGCGATTGGCCGTCCCCCTTTCCAGTCTTTCTTGAACTTGGGGAGAATATAAGCCGATGACACACGAGCACCGCGAGAGCCGAAGCGGAAAGGGAATGCTTCAAGAATCCGAGGTGGCACTGCTTGTTCCATCTGGGCCAGGATCGCCGAAGTGTTTAGCGACAGTGGCTGAAAAACCGATTCGGCAGTGAAAGTGTTCTGAAGCATCACCCAATACTTCACAGGACAGAAAACATGCGCATGAGAGCCTTCATGATCCCGAACATGCCACACCAGTCCCTTGGTCCACTTTTTCAACTCTCGAACTGTATCAACCGTCCAATGAGTTCCGACATGCCCCAAGTGCATATCCCAAGCCTTCTGCCAGGCACATCGAATATCATCTATCGGGTAATGTACCAGACCGTGATGGGCTATCCACTGTCTCACGTCATCATGAAACATCTGCCAATGCTCTGTTGCGGTCATAAACACCGGATTGGCACAGCTCGACTGGGCCAGTTGAGCAAATTCGTCCGGCAGAGACAACAAAGTGGCGGAAGATGCAATATGACCCTGAACCACTGTCAAGTCAGGATGGCGTTGAAGAAGCTCAGAACAGCAGCACATGACTCCGGCCTTATGTGGGTCCTCATGTGGGTCCCACAACTGCAGAATTCGTTTGTGCGAAAAAAGAATGTCCTTGATCTTTGGGTGACTTCTGGCAACAAGCGCAGTCGTCGGGATGTGATATGGCAACAGTCTGTCCGACGAAACATCCAGGATATCACCCAACAAGCCACGAACCAAGCGCTTGAAACCTGCCTCCGGCAATAAAAGCGGAGTGGACAGAGGACGACATGTGGTCGGGCACCTCAACTGTCTGAATTGCAGCACAGTGTTCAATCTGGACCTGCAGATCGTCTCATAGAAAGGGTCACCCAGATGAGTGGCCATCCGAAACAGTCTGTAGAGAACATCCGAGTCGACTCTATTGCTGCGTAGATACTTCTGGGCAAGAAAAGATTTCAAACCGTCCGATGCAAGGTCAAACAGAATCTGATAACTGTAGACAATGTTCTGGATTATATGTGTGGAGCGAAAGACAGATGGCGTCAGTCCAGTGAGCTGGAGGTTCCGACGTCGAAAACGTCTGAAAGTTCTCCACGATGTCACAAATCTACGAACACATCTGACAGGGTCGGAATTGGCAATGTGTGCATGTTTAGATTTTACCAGCGACCTAACCCAGGGAGCATTGAGGCGGGGCTGAAGCAAGTTGATGAACGTCTGCTCAATCGTATGCAAACAGTCACCCTGAGGCACATGCATGATCAACAACGGAATGGCAAGATGATAATTCCGTCGTCGGTAATGCCAGACAAGCGAAAGTTCACCACATACTGACTTGCCAGAACAGATTTGTTTGTACTTCCCCCATCGAGTACGTTCGCGCTCTCCCAACGTCTGGGATGTCGATCCAATATACATGAATTGCTGCAACTCGGGCTGGAGAAAAAAGGGGGCAATAAATCACCGACTTAGTCTGGAAGAACTTCCAGGTGTAACTGGAACACTTTAAACGAAGCTGGGAGGTCAACGGCGACTGTACAAGCCCGAACTCACATGCCAGCAAAAGGAGCTTTCCACGGACCCAAATAACAACGTCCATCCATTGTTGTCCGAACATGGTGGGTGTCTCGTAGACACTCTGGAAAAAGAGATGAGCATTCCGAAGCAAGTCCACGTCACTTCGGTGCTTTCGCCACCATCCTTGTGGTGGATTGCCGCTGCTATATCGCTCTCTGTCATCCAGTGCGGCTTGTAGTCAAGCCGCAAGAACTGTTCCGACAGCTAAAATACGCAGCAGTGAGCCTGCTTTAAGCTTGGCAACATCACGAATGGGGATGCCCCAGTTGGCAACAACCTGATCCAATTCGGCCTGTTCATTGGAAGGAAGGTCCGCATGCCATCGTTGGACATGGGCTGTCCATGTCTCCAACTTCTTGCGGTTATTTTTGCTCAAGGTCAATCCTTCAATCCATGCCGACACTTCTTTGTCCGACTTGCAAGTTTTCCAACCGCGTGTCAAGAAATGACGTTTGGACACATCCGTGAGAACACTCTTCACAACCTGGCCGACATGCGAGGACGTGCCATACTCAAACTGAGAACTTTCTGGGCTGCGACCTTGCGTCTCAACCTCCCCATTCTCAATATTCAACGGTTCTGCCTGGCTCCCTGACGGTTTGCCTTTTTGGAAGGCCTGCATAAGATTGCTTTTCGGCTCAGCCGTCTGACCACGAAGAAGACGAGTCGTGCCATCAGGAACTTTTTGAACAGAAGTTGTTGATTCTGACACTGGTCCCGGGGGGCTTTCCGTAATCGGCAACCCTTTCTGTTCAGCGGTAGCCTGGTGGGAAGGGCGGGAGGGGGAAGCATTCTCAAAGTTCGCAAGCTGTTGTTGAAGCATCTGGATCTGATTCGCCATAGCTGCCTTCTCCGTGTCAACTGACGCTTGAGGATACAGACCTAACATGTAGTCAACAACCTTCTGTGCCAACAGATGTGTAGCCTGCGATTTGGAGTCCGAAGCAACTCTTCGAAGCAGCGTCACTGGTACCCTGCACGATGGAAGCAAGCTCATCCAAGTCGACTTCCTCATCTCGCAATTTTCCGAACAATGCATGACAGAATACGATCTCTGCAATCGATTTGAAACCTGCAAAGAATGTCGGCTTTCCTTCTGCAATATGACGAATCCAATATGAATTCCAACCTTGATAAAGCAATGAATGAATCATCGGTACCATATGTGTCGGGCATCCGTCAATCTGCTTTCGAACCGACCATTCAGTCTTCTTAACCCAACGAGCCAGGTTCAAGCCTGCAATAGAGCGTGAATCCAAATAAATCGGATTCTGGCAGAACTCAGCGGTAGCATAGGTCCGAAGACTTTAGGTGACTTGGCATCAGGTTGGGATGGCAGTCCTGGAATGCGAGGGGTTGGCGAAATGTTCATAATCTGGGCAGCACGAGGATTGGGCTGCCACGTGAGATTCTGCGGCTGAAGCACCATCGGGCGGGTCAAGGGTAAAGCCGGAGGGGGCACCGGATTTTGCCAACTCGCAGGGGGTGGTGGAACCGCATCAGGAGTGGAGGAGCTCCAGTAGGGATTGCGACGGGGGGTTCGTTCACGATCCATGGCAGCTTTGTACAAGTGATCTCCACTATGATCTCCACTGTGATTTCCAAAAGGCTGATCTCCGCTCAGTGATCTCCACTTGAACATGTGTCACAATCCTACCTGATTTCCAGACCTGCTAACACAAGCACTTCGCCGAAAAGCGACAAGGCCCTCATGAGGGAGCTCTTGTCGAACACAATTGGAATGGCTCCCACTGACCCGCCTGTCCTCCGTAGATGACGTACATGGTGCAAGCCATGCAAGAAACATGTCAGAATTTTCAGAGAGAGTAAAACTGTTTCAAACAAGCATGTTTTGAAAACACATGTTGTGGCCACCAGCTGGAGTACTTCTCCCCAGGTGCACCACTGCAGGTACGTTTTCACTGCACTCACAGAAGCGTCTTCGTTGGCTGGAGACTTCTGTGATGCACTCCAGCCCCCTGCATTTGACAAAAGAAAGAAGAATGAAAAACATGAAACACCGTCATGAATGCAGAAATTCGCATGTACAGCAGGATAACACAAACACAACTGGATCCGACGGGCTGAGGTCTCCGCGTAGACCGCCGATCCATTCCAAATGACTGCCATCCTCCCAGCGCCCCACTCGCACCTGCGGCAAGCCGCCGGCTCCAAGAGATGTAATCGCGCGCGCTGCACTGTAGTATTCAGGACCATGTTTCTATGTTCCCAAGGCGGAGATGAGCCTGGCCGTCAAGGTTCTTGTACCTTGCCACGCCATGTTGCTTGCCTGCAGGGTTTAGGCTAGCCTTTCTCGTCACGATGACATCTTGTGCTCTGCTCTCCCAGAAGCTGATGGGAAGGAGGTGCTCAGGCCTTGTAGCCACTGGCCACTGTACTGCGCCCCGGAAGACCAGCGAAAGCATCCCTCTCCATGCTTGTGATCTCGGATGTAATGACCCTGGTAGCATCGCCCATCAGGCCAGGTCCTGGGATCTGATTTTCCACAGGAAACTCTCAGAAAAACCTCCAGGACAGCACTTGCTACTGTAAGGGCTGGGCATGATGCCCCAGCCATGAAGCTTGTTCTTGTCCCATCCCCCCTTGTATCGGCGACCGTCTTGCCACCTCAGGGGAAGAAAGAAGGCACCAGAGGCAGGATGGGCTGAGATCATTTGCAGGACGCGGCCTGTAGTCACCAGACCCGTGGAAGCAGTTGTTGCTGAAGGATCCCTTGTATATGGCGCCATCAGACCAGAGGAATTTACCATGTCCATCCTTGGCGCCTGCGCAGTACATGCCCTCAAATCCTCGGAGAGAGCATGAAACATGGAACACTGGACGGGGTGCGAAAGGGCTCCCGTCACCTTTGGAAGTTGTAGCTGTGCGGGACTTTGACAAGGGGGACTGCACGTTCACTGGCTAGGTGGCTGCAGTTCTTAACCTGTTCGACAACTCGGCTTCGCTGTCGAAGGTGTCAACACGGTTTAGAGATCTTTTGCCGACTTCATGGTACCAGCGCACCCTAAGCCGGGCATGCATGAAAGAGTTTGTCCAAGGCTCGGGAGCCGTCGGGCCAGGTTTCGATGCCATAGCCGTGCTGGAGGTCATTGAGCCACTGGCCCTCGTAGGAACTCCCATCCCTGCGGGTGAACACGCCGAAGCCTTCTGCTCGCTCATTGACCCATTGCCCCTCGTAGACATCGCCGGATATGTAAGCCAACCGGCCCTCGCCGTTGGGCTTGTCATCGACGAAATTGCCCTCGAAGCGGCTTCCATCCTTGCTTCGGGTGTAAAGCAAAGCACGCCAAAGAAGCTTCCAAAGCACAGCTTGATGCCCAAACCCTGCTTCGCGCACATTGCAGGCAGTCGGCTCATTTCTATTCTATCTGGCATCCCTTGTCAGACTTAAGCCACAACAAAGCACTCGAAACCACCATCTGCCACGCCACGGGTTGCTCGAGGATGCCGTAACCTTGCTTCTGATCATCGACCCATGTGCCAGTAAATCGGAAGCCACCCTCCAGAATGACTGTTGTGCCATCCTTAGCAGGACGCTCAGCAGGACAATGCAGATGGCAGGCCTGCTTTGCTCGGACGGCAACCCAATTTTTCAGATCGCAGGAACTGCTGAGCCTCTTTGGGCAGTGTAGAGTCTGTCGGCGTCTGTCGGGCCACATTCATCTCTCAATCAAAGTCATAGCAGGGGAATCCAGCCATGCTTGTATCTCCACTGGCCGCACAAATCACAGAGCCCCAAAAACAGGCAGCACCGGCAAGACCCTCGAAAAGCGAGTATGGTCGATCTGCCAGCTGAGACAAGTCTTCTTGACGATCGCAAGCAAATACTGCGAAGTGCAGCGCTCGATTCAGCCACACTTCGTCCTGCGTTTGTCTGTAGAGGGCCAAGAATGCGAAACCGTTTCCAGGTGTGCCATGACAGAGTCCGAGCCCCTTTGTGCTCAGAAGCCCCCTCCTCCAAATCACATGGCCTAACTCCATGGCGTGCTGCAGATATCGTGGCTGTTTGTAGACGCTGGCTAGCCGCAGCATGAGTGGCACTGCGCCAGTTGCTCCGTGGCAGAACTGAACCAAGCGATCCCTGTCACTCCCCACAGACGACGGCAGGTTCCCACTCACGAATCGCCCATCTAACAATTTGTCAGCGCTCCGACAAATGAGGTTTGCAACATCGGAGCCTGCTGCTGCAAGCTCCTTTGGCAGCTGCACCAAAGTGTGGAGAATGCCTGCAATGCCGTGCGCGCCTCCTAGGTAGCACTTGTCATGCCACTCATAGTAGAGTGGCCAGCCTTCTCGTGCATGGCGCCGTCCCGATTCAACCACTTGCCTGGCAAAAACGCAGGGCATCAATCAGTGCTTGTGTCTCGTGTCTCTGGCATCTATATAAGCATGATATGCAGAGATTATCTGCATAATGCCACATGGTATCTATATATATATATATATATATATATACATGCAATACACGAATGCTAGGTAGCGTGCCTCACAAGCTCCGTCGCTGGCCCGGCTAGCAGTTGAGGGTCTCTGAGATGTTTCCGTAGGAAAAGTATGACACACCTTACCGTTGGTTAGTAGGGAATGGAAGAATGGTAGTAAAAGTATTAATAGTAGTTATAATTATACCATTCCTCCATTCCCTACTAACCAAAGGTAAGACACAGAAAGCCGCAGCGGCCGTAGAGCACCTCACACTCTCCTTCCGGTAAAGCAGAGGCAAGATCCGCCAGCCGCTCCACCCTTCCGACACACTCCCGCACCTTCTCACAAAGCACGTCTGCTACATTAAAACATACATAAGATGTGAAAATCAAAAAAAAGCTTGTGGCTTGAGGTTCTGTTTATAGAAACTACCGCTCCTTCTCCTGCTCTTGCCGGAGTTGGTGCGTCCAGGCCTGCAGCGCCACACAGCCTGCCAGACCTTCCAAGAGAGTGACGCGCCGCGCATCGGACGATGTTTCTGCCTCTGCCAGGATGCGTCCGCTGTCCACACAAGCAGTGGATGGGTCATGGAGGCCACAGGCAGCGAGGTGCAGTAGCGTGTACGCCACTCCGCCGGCACCCGTGTAGACACTGCCCTTAGCATTGGCTGTCAAGATTTCTTGTTCGTTGAAAGCTTGTGCTGTAGCTACTGGTCAGCTGGATCCAAACATGCAAATCTTCCGGCGGATTGATTGGGCCCTCAGGACTTTCGTCACCCATCCTCTCCTTGCGATGCTTGGCCCGCAAAAGAAAGGCCTTCAGCGTCTCCAGGCCCCCGCGCAGCTTGGCCTCCCAAGCTTCGGGTTTCGAGGAGTCATCCAAGTCATTGCGGAAGTGGCGCCCGTCTTCCACCTCCATTTTCTTCGCTCGCAGACTTGAGCCGCAAGGCACGGGCGACGCGACGAGTTGGTTCGCAACGAGAGGGGGGGGACCTCCTAGGTGCCCAAGGATGCCCAAGGGCTGCAACTTAGGTTTCACGGGCTGCTGCACTGTTGCAGCTTGACAACCTTGTAGAATGCTATGCGGCTATGCGTGCCACAGGCGCCACCCAGGGCCTTGCGCCATCGGTGCAGCACGTCACCCTATTTCCTGTAGACTGGCAGGATATCCCAGGATTGGACTAGCGACTAAGGGAAGTGAGGAGCCTTCCGAATAGAAGCGATGGAAGCAGCAAGGCAAGCGCTCTCAGGAAATAGCCGACGTCCAAAGGGTGCTGGCTAGTGCATGTCTGGGCCCAGGCTCACTAAAGCCTGGAAGCCATTGCCAATACTCTTGTATCTTTTGGTGTGACCCTGCTTGGCACAGAGACCTGTGGTTTCTTTGCCGAGTGTCTTCCTCCAAGCTTTCTGCTCCCAGGGTGGGCTGTGCCTTGACAACAGTCTTGCCTTCGGGAACGATGCCTCAGATTCGAGAAGCCATAAGCAGATCGGTTTGAAGAGCCCTGTGTGTGTGTGTGTGTGTGTGTGTTGTTTGTGTGTGTGTGTGTCAGCCCATGCACTTTGTGTGTGGCCCTCCCTGCGCAGCAGCACTTCAGGCTAAGAGTCAGGTGTCAAAAACATCGTGACTGCCTATCTTTGATTTCGGAATGCCAAGGAACTATGCTCCACGACACCATGGGCGGAGCTGTCGGTGCAGACGCAGGAGCAGTTTCCCATTGCCACACATGGCCGACACGATTTGCGAAGGAGCCTTATTCCTTGGCCTACAGATCCCACTGCGCTGGCATAGCAAACGCGTATCTCCGAGACCTTCTGTTGCCGCAACAGTGAGTGTCCATAATATATTGCACTGTTGTACCTAGCTGTGGGGGAAGGTGCGTCATCACTGCGGATCTGAGCCACGGGTCTCTATCGATAACCCTTCTTTTTTTGCGATCTCGTTGAGAGAGCAAAGGTTGATCGATTTGCAAATTATTGTCTGACCGGCTTTTGGCCATGCTGCGGGCATACATGCGACTTGTAGTCAATTCAATGCTCTGCGTTTCCTCCAAGAGACCGACCTGAAGGAAGATAACGGTCGTGCAAGGATATGCAAGGCAACCCGAAGCCCACGAGCATTTTCGGTCGACTACCGGTCGCAGGGCCCAGCACCGCCTGCCAATGATGATCTACCCCTCGATACATGTGTAGCCAATACATGCCGACTTCGTGGCCAACGTCTGGCCATGCCCCGCTTCACACATGCTGGACCTGGCCATGATCTGCACAGCCACTGCGCTGGTCACGCTTCAATCGCTGGTGCTCCTTCCACGAGTGAGCAACTGATATGACTCAGCTTGAATCTGGCATCATGTTGTGAGCTGGTCCTGGGACACAAGCTGAAGCAGAACATCCACCTGTCTCAAACAGATTTGGTGGTTTCGGGTTCTTCGTCTTTGCACCGGGGCGCGCACAACCAGTCGGGCGGCGGCTGGACCTCGGTGAATGTCCACGGGCCGATTTCGGATCAAGAGAAGTTTCTTCATCATATCCACTCGCACACATTGGTTTGGCTCTAGGCTTGCATGGTGGACGTTTGCGTTGGTAGCACCTGGCTCCTGGCTCTGAGACAGGCAGAGCACTGATCCCGTCCATGGAAATTCAACACGAGCAGCTCCTCGAAGCTTCGGGACACGCTCCCGTCTTGGAAGCTGCTCCGACACTGAGGACTGGTGCCTCGGCCCGCAATAAACAGCTTCAGCTTCGTCGGATTTTGCTCCGATCATCTCCTATCTCTACCTAACTTCGGGACGACCGGCAATGCCCCGTTGCCCTGCTGGACAGGCACGCCTGGTCACTTGGCCTTTCAGTTCTCCACCCCGCCCACCCATCGCCCCGCACATGCCCTTCATTGGGCGCGGTAGTGCTGGAAGCGCGGATGCTTGTTAGTGAGTGCAACCCAGGGGGGGAAAGCTGGGGGAGGGGGGGGGACGCCCTTGGTTACATTTCTGGCTGCTGTTACGCGTCCGAAACCCCCCCGCCCCATGTTGCATTTCCAATGCGCCGTATACAGGCTCCTGATTCGGGACATGTCTGGCCAACCCCCCTCAAGTTACATTTCGAACCCCCCCGCGAGTTACATCATCATTGGGTGCTGCATGGATGCTGTATGGTATAAATTCGGGGCGAAATCGCCGTTTTCTTCCACCCCACAAGTACAGGTTCTGAGTTTGCTAGCAAATACAAGCAATAGAAAGTAAACAACATGTTTCTAGAATGTTGAAAGCTTAGCAGAAACATCACCACTCCTTGAGTAATTCACCCACCTGGAGGGATTCGGAAAGTCAGAACACTGTCAGAACAATTTGTTCGTGGTGTTCGGGAGTGGGAGGGGTTGGTAAAGATCGGGTGGTTCCTTGCTGGTTTGCTTTTTGATTTTGGTTTGTTTTCTGTGCCCCGCAGATCAGCTTCAGTTATGGCAAGACACACAGTCCCCTTGAAAATCACGCTATTTCCACAGTCCCAAGCTGAGGGAACATGAGGGTCCTGCTGAAAGCAGAGAGGTTTCACCGGGAAACGGGGGGATCAGGCAGGGAGTTTCAGGGTGCTGGGTTTAGGGCTTGGGGTTTAGGGTGTAGGGTTCACCGGGATGCCAGGGGGGTTCACCAGGAAACGGGAGGGATCACGCAGTCACCGCGGCTGTTCCAGGGCCCGCCCTGTTTTAGAGGCTTGCGCTATGGCATACCTGACGGGCTTGACATGCTTATAGCTTGTAATGTCTTGCTGGGTTTAGAGTTTCTGGGTTCAGGGTGGATTCCGGGGGTTTAGGAGTATGGAGTCTCAGGGATTCTGGCTCAGGGTTTCTGGGTTTAGGCTTCCCGGGTTCAGAGTTGCAGTTTTTCCGGATTAAAGGTGCTGGGTTTAGAAACTCTTGTTTGAAGGTTTCTGTTCCGGCTTGGGGGTTTAAGATTTCTGGGTTCAGGGTTTTTGGGTTTGGGGTCTCTAGATTTATGTTTGCCGGTTCAGGGTTTCTGGGTTTAGGGCTTCTGGGCTCAAGGTTGCTAGGGTTTCTGTGCTCACGGTTTCTTGGTTGGGGTTTCTGCGTTCAGGGTTTAAGAGTTTGGGCTTGTGGGTTTCGGAGCTTCTGGATTAAGGGTCTCTGGGTTCAGGGCTTCTGGGTTTTTAGGGTTTCTGAGCTCATGCTTGCTAGGGCTTCTATCTTCAGGGTTTCAGGGTTTTGGAGTTGGTTTCTGGGTTCAGAGTTGTTGGTTCCAGGGTCTCTGCGCTTGGGGGTTCCGGGCCTCGAAAGCCGGAGCAAAATCGAAAAACGGCATCCCGTTTGTGATAAAAACATAAACCCGGCAAACCGGCCAAACCCCCCCTCGAGTTACATTAACAAGGGGCCCCCTAGAGTGCAACCGACCAACGCGGCGGCAGCAGCAACGGCACAGATCTACATCATACAAGCGGATTCCCATTCTGAACGACTCGACCTGCTCCATCACCCTTTTCTGTAGAAGTCGAGTGAGTTGGCTTGAGCTCATTTGCGACGCTGGCTCGTCTGCTTCGCATACTGAATTTCAGTTCGTTCAGCTGCCACGTCCGTAGGCCCCCTGCAGACTGCATTAACAAGGTCGTAAATGCCTTCATGGAAAAAGTTTTGCCTGCAGCAGTCAGAAGTTGAGAAGGTCTGCGACTAAGCGTCGCTGCCTGGCCTTTCCTCTTCGAGCTCTTCGATGCGCCTTTGAGCCTGAACCGAGTCGCAAGCTGCATTGTTTCTGCAAGCTGCAGTGCGTGCACATGCCTCTGCCAGCTGAGTCTGCAGTGAGGCGTTCTGCTCCTAGCGAAAGATGAACTCAAGGCACTACGCCTCTCATAGTCATCGAATGGCACCTGCAAGGTCCGTGGGCTGCAGCGAGGCCTTCATGTCAACGCATCTGACACTGTCCAGCAGCTGAGCACTTCGCTCTTCTCGGTAGTCTTCTGGCCTCAGGTCTGGCTCGGAGTTCAGGTGGCCTCAGGGAAGGCGGCAGTGCAACAGTGTGCTGTGTGCGACGGAACTTGACCCCGGCCGTTAAGTTAAGGCGAGGACTATCTGGGCCTGACTCAACGCAGCCCGGCACAGGCTGCGAGTGAAGCGGAGACGCCTGCAAACTGCGCAACTACTTTGGGGGGTTTAGGCTGCCGAAAGACATTCTTCTTTTTGTCTGTCTCTTCTTCTCCTCCCAGGCTTACTTAAGGCTTAAGGGGTGAGTCAAGCGCCCCGCGCTCTGTTTCTTTCGCCAGGGCTATGGTGCAGGGGCTTTACCCCCTCCCGGGCTATGCCTCTCTTTCTTTCTTTCTGCCGGGCATAAGGGTCGCGGTGCGACCCACAGGCCTAGGCCCGCCCGATCACCCCCTGGGTTATGGAGTGATCGGCTTCTGGGGTTACTCCAGACTATGGCACTGTACAACCAGGCATTTTCCCGAGTTGGCGACCCCTTCGAACACTAAACACAACACAACCGCCGCCTCGTCCCCGCGCCCCTGTGGCCACCCGTTGTCCCAACTCGGTAAAAGGTTTCGGGCTTCCCAGATGCAGTGGAACAGCGGAGGCGGCTTGTCAAGTAACAGCAAAACAGTTAACGCAACAGTGTACTCTAGGTTTACTCTCCCCCCCCCTGCCCCCGGGGGTTTCGCTCTGTCTCTCTCTCTCTCTCTCTCTCTCTCTTGCTTGCTTCTTGCTGAGGGGTATGGGCCCTGAAAGGACCCTGGACCGAGGGCCTACGCCCACAACGGTCCGCAAATCCCGCATCTCTCTCTCTCTCTCTCTCTCTCTCTCTCTCTCTCTCTCTGTCTTCTTCTCCAGGTCGTATCCCCCGCTACATTCTCTTTCCGGACATGACGATCACACATACGAGGCAGCCATCGCATTCATCATAAACATGCACACACACGCCTGCATGTGAAAATTCTGTTGCAAATCTGTGGGAACGAATCTGGTTACACATCAGCGGATTCCCGGGTCATTTTGACTTGACCCTGGCAGCTTATCCCCGCCAGCATGCTTCAAAGTTGAGCAGCAAATATATCAAGATGTTGTTACGAATTGCAATATCTTAACGTTCCAGTTCTCCGTTGCTCTAGAATGCACATATGACAGAACAGAGGCTCAAACTCTCCTGAAGTAACGACAAACAAAGTTCGATTTCCTGGGCAAGCTTCGGAGAGTCCCAGGCTGAAGGGGCGAGTCAAGCCCCTCGGGCACACGGAACGGGTGATTTATGACATCCAAGATAGCGAATGCAACGAGTTGAAGTAAACACTATCCAGTGTCAACTGTCCTCCGTTTGTTGTTCAACTATGTGTGCAAAATCTGCAAGTAGAAAGCGATGCCGTTCGAGCCTGGCAGTTCTGAGAGAGTCGCTGCAGGGCCGCCGCAGCTTCCTTCGACACTCTTGCGAGCTGACGGAAGAGATTGCATCAAAGGCCCTTGAGCCCTTGTCCTGAAGGCTCTCCGCGACGCCTTGAAAGTTACGCCGCAGTTTGCGGCTTGGCCTGGCGACAACAGCTTCTCAGATCTTCTCAGAAAGAGTGCTTTGGGAACCGAGGCCCAAGCGAAAGGATGCACGGTAGGCTTTTCGTCATGTCAGCAGGCATGTCGCCGGCTGCCATGTTGAACAGCTGAACCTTCTTGGCCTTCAACATGCCATGGGTAGTAGATGGTACAAGTAGCAGTAGCAGTGCAACGGCCACCAGGCTAGTTGCGGACAGCAAAAGCGCCGGGTTCTGCTAACCTAGACTTCAGCACGGCTGGCGCCTCTGGGCGTTCGGGTGCCGGCCTGAATTCAAAACAAACTCGTGAATGAGAGGAGCGATGCGAGGCAAGCTTGTTGATTCTTCGGCAGATCCACGCATGTGCTCTGGTCGTGGCGGCTGGTGGGAAATGAGTTCGCTGACACAGGCCCTGCTAGCAGTCCCTTTTTGGCTGTGCCACTTGCGCCATCAGAACAGCAGCCGCGCTGCCAACTTCCTAGATGATGCCAATGCGGTTGGCGACGTCCAGCGCATCGTAGTCCTGCGTGAGGCGAACGTATGCCTTCTTCTTCCTGGCACACCGAGACAATGGTCCGTGATGGGCCGTGATCGTGCCACTCAAGACTTCACATGGTCAGCTGAATAGTTAATACTTAACAGCTAACTCACCGGGTGGAGCAAATAAAGGAGACAGAAGCCAAATGCAGCTGCGGAGCCCGTCTGGGCGGATGAGAGTGTTGACTTTGGCACACTTCACGTCATACAGCTGCTTGACAGCCTCCTTGATCTTGGGCTTGGTGGCCTTGAGGTCAACCAGAAACACGAGGGTGTTGATCTCCTCGATCTTCTTCATTGCCGACTCGGTGGTCACAGGGCACTGAATGATGCGGTACTTGTCGAGCTTGTCGCCCCGGGATTCAACCGACTTGCGTGGGTACTTGGGGTCTCGTGCTTTGATCAAAGTCTTCGGTCGGTAGAACCGGACCTTGGTGCGCACCTTTCGGGCCTTCTTGCTCACGGTGCCCTTCACGGCCTTTGCGGCCTTCTCCGCCTTCTTGGCCTTGTCCCCTTTTGGCGCCATGCTGCGTGATGCCTACCGGCTCTACTTGTGTGGCTACTGACAACCGTCTTCAGAGCCGAAACAACAGACAAGCATGTGTGTGCTTTGCCTCTCAATTTGCCCTGCTCTGCTTGCTCTTGGGCCGGACAGCAAAATCATGGAACATCAGAGCTCCAGCGGCGGCACTGAGAGTGGCTACAAATCCCCACAGTATGTAGCCCTAGCGGTTGCGCAGAGAAGACTTCACAACCGACGTGACTTATTTTTGCGGTTCGCAGCATGTGTGTTCGAGGGCACCAAAGCAGACTAGATGATGCCAATGCGGTTGGCGACGTCCAGCGCATCGTAGTCCTGCGTGAGGCGAACGTATGCCTTCTTCTTCCTGGCACACCGAGACAATGGTCCGTGATGGGCCGTGATCGTGCCACTCAAGACTTCACATGGTCAGCTGAATAGTTAATACTTAACAGCTAACTCACCGGGTGGAGCAAATAAAGGAGACAGAAGCCAAATGCAGCTGCGGAGCCCGTCTGGGCGGATGAGAGTGTTGACTTTGGCACACTTCACGTCATACAGCTGCTTGACAGCCTCCTTGATCTTGGGCTTGGTGGCCTTGAGGTCAACCAGAAACACGAGGGTGTTGATCTCCTCGATCTTCTTCATTGCCGACTCGGTGGTCACAGGGCACTGAATGATGCGGTACTTGTCGAGCTTGTCGCCCCGGGATTCAACCGACTTGCGTGGGTACTTGGGGTCTCGTGCTTTGATCAAAGTCTTCGGTCGGTAGAACCGGACCTTGGTGCGCACCTTTCGGGCCTTCTTGCTCACGGTGCCCTTCACGGCCTTTGCGGCCTTCTCCGCCTTCTTGGCCTTGTCCCCCTTTGGCGCCATGCTGCCCCACCACACGTGCTACACTGCCAGCTTGAACCGCGGCAACCTCGGAAACGAACTTCCTGGCCTGACCTCACTGTGATTGTGATTTTATGCAGATTCGCCTGCAAAGGTAACGGATTGATTCAATGGCGAAGATAGGCAGTCACAGCAAGTTCCGAATGAGGCCGCGGCGGGTATGAGAAGTGTCTGACCATTGGCTTGTGACCCCTATGAGCCTGAGTCAGCTGCCACCAGTGCCAAGCCCCAACTTCCATTAGGCTTACTCTCGCTGAGGCTTAGATGCGATTGGGTCACAAAGGGCATGTTGCCTGATCTTGACTGAAACGAATCATGCTTGGCTCGATCCAAGCCACAAAGGTGCTCTCCGGAGTCGTCTGGGTCTGGGCCGGCTCTGCATGCTTCTTGGAACCTGCCTGAGTCTGGGTTCCTTGAAGGCTTTCCTCGCATCGCTGCAAGGCTTCGTATGCTGAATGTGTGCTTTCCGACAGCGGTGGCTGCAGTGCCTGGGCTGGATGCTGCAGGTTGCTTGTCTGGGGAAAGCTTGTCCTGGACTCTCGTCCTGCGTCAGTCTCGATTTGCATGTTGCTACGACGACCGCCTTCGCCGACGTGTGTCGGCAAATCTCGCGCTCGACTCGCCTCGGAGCTGCACGCTGCATCTGCAGTAGGCCACTCAGCAAAGCAGAGATTGGCTGGCTGGTCTGGTTCAATGCTGTTTCTCGTGATGTGCTGCCCGGACAAGCTCGGGCTTTGTCTGGGGATTGTTGCGCGCTGCAGCTGCCCCAGGGTCACGCCATGTTCCTCGACATCGAAGCACAATTGAGAATCTGAATCTAAACAGTGTTGCAAACGCAGCGGACCCCTTCTGTCGCGAGTTTGCACGTGCCAGAGTCCTGCTGCCAAGCCTGCCAGCTCTCTTTTGCCAGCTGTCCTGCATGTTCATTGAAGAGTCGAAAAGGTAAGCACTGCTGACAACTGCCGGGTCATGGCTGCGAAACAACGGCACAACAGGCTGCACAGCTGCACCTAGTCTTCGTCGCTCGCGATAACCTCGGCAGGATCAACATCGACCCCGGCCAGCACCCACAACCCTCCGCCCGACTCGAATATGTTGCCCTCATTTGCCCCCACTACAAGCTGGCCACTCCTCGTGGTTTCTGTTCTCTGGCATGCAAGCCTTCCACGCTGCGACGACTGGATGCCTGACATGTTTCGACATTTTCGATGTTTTAGTCGGTTACAAGCTTCATAGATTTTCGGTGTATTTGACTGTGATGTTGTTGTCGATGCCGCTGGCCCTGCACGCCTTCCGCTTGCGATCTTGCAGTTGATGTCTCAAGCATCACGGGGGCTCCGAATTTTTGTCAATACCGCCACGTCGCGCCACGCCCAGCCCCAGCCCCACATCGATCGCTTCTGAACAATCTCACGTCTCTCATTTGCGCCGCATGCGTCACTTTTACAGTATTTTGAACGCCCCAGCTTTCTCCACGAAGCGGTGATATCCAAGCTGGATTGGTTCGAGCTCGGACAAATCACCACTATCCATGCGCGGTTTCTCGAGTCGGAAAGGATTCGCTTGCTCGTCCCCTGAGGCTCAAAAAGCTAGGCTCGCAACTCGCCACTCCTATTCCTTTCAATCTTCAGCCGCCAAGGCAACCTTCCCCTTCGTCTCTACTGCTGCCGCTGTCCTTGTTTCGGTTCGTGATGTGACGAAGATATGAAGGTTGCGGCCTGTGGCCTGCTCGTGGTCTGGCTGAAGCACTGTTTGTGTTGCGCATCGCTTGCCATGCGGAACAACTTGGAACATCTTGGCAACAGTTTCCCCCTAGGAAGGTAATGACGAAAATAGGACAGCAAACATGCCTGTGCCTGGTTCTACCAAGAACTCCTGCAAGCTCCACAAGGATACAGTAGTAACAATGCAAAAAACACGGTGTACGAGGCAAACGCCAGAAGGGAAGGGCAACCGTGGGCAACTAATACGTAACAGCAAGCTGCAATACACGGGAGGGAAGAACAAGGACACGTGACATGTCCGTTCAAGTTCCGCAGAACTTACTGCATGCGGTGAGCCTCGGAAAGGCGAAGTGGGCAGAACAGATCTTTCATCGAGTCTGCCGTCCAGGTCCTTGTTCATTCGAAGGCTATAACAGGAACGCGCACATCGTCAGTCCAGCAATGCAACTTTATGTCCACAGGGCTGCACGCTGACATGCCAAATTGCCGAGGGACGGTTCTGAGAGGCTGGGGCTGGGTCTCCTCAAGCGTGTCCTTTTGCCTGTCTTCTTGCTGCGGCTCTTTCGTCGAGATCTGCTCTGCCGGCTTCGGACGTTCCAGTGCTGGCATCTCCGCAAAAATGTCCATCTCCTGTGTTCGCGGCGCGCCTGCGGGTGCCTGGCAGCCACGCCAAAATCTATGCGGCAATGAAACCCTCTTGTGACTCTTGTGTTTCCAACCTCCCGTACTTCAACATCTCCTGGCTGAATCCGTCGTGCTGACACCTGCGTGCACCACATCCGCGTCGTACAGTGACGCACAATACCATATAACCGAATGGTATCAAATGCTACCCAAAGCGCTTGCCTGAGGAGTGCTAAGCGAATCTGTCTGCGACCTTTGCTCTTCCAGGCGGCTGCGTGCAGTCATTGCTTTAGCACGTCCGCTTGGACCGTGTCCTCGACCCGAGCATCTGAGGCACAAACCCAATAGCCGGCGCCCGCGGCGACGATTTCTGCGTATTGACAACCTCCCCATGCTCTGGGATGCGCACTGCCTGTCCGAACTACCACATCTGCTGATGACCAGCACTGTCTGTCTGGCATGTGATTTGCAGATATAATCATAGAAAAATCTGAACATAAAACGCACGCACACACATGCATACGTACAGGTACACACATGCACACCTACACTACACACATTTTTTTCACTCGCACTCGACGAATCAGGTGAGGCTACTGTAAATCAGTATCGCAATCCAGGCACATTGGCGCAGGCTCTCACTAGTACCACCTATACGCATACATCCATGCATCCATCCATCCATCCATCGATCCATCCATCCACCCACCCAAAACCGTGCAATTATTGCCGCTTGCTGCGACAGGGAGGGAGAGCAGGCTGGCCAGTGGAGCCGAAGCGCAATCATACGGAACGGGGGAAACAGTCAAAATTGAAATGCTAAGTGTTTTTTTTTTGGGGGGGGGTTTTTTCCAACCTTGCTCTTGGCATTTACCGGGCGTGCAGCGTCAGCAATGGCAGCGCGGTCTCTGCATGTGTTTTTTCTCGCTCCTTCTGTTAACTCGCAGGGGGTCTGCTCTTTGTCTTCACGCGGCTACTTCTACGAGTGGGTCTACGGTGGTGGTCCATTTCACTGAATGGAAGCTCCAGGCTCCAGCAGTGTGCATGCGTGGGCGCGGAAGGCCGCGAGCGCTGCCAGGTGGTCCAGCGGTGTACCATGGCTTGGCGGGCTGCTGTAGCTCATCACGGTGCACGCGCAGTCAAGCGCGGGAAGGTCAGGATGCGGCTAAAGCGCCCGCCCCGCACAACCCCGCAGACGACCAGCTTGCAACGGCGGGCGTAGCGTTGTTCTGGGTACGCTCGCAGCTTGCGGTCGACAGCTTGACGGAGAGCGAGTCCGGGTTCGCGATTCATCTGGGGGCGGGGCCCGCCGTCACGCCTCATAAAGAGCACCTTGCCAGATCGGGGGGTTGTCGGCGACGACTCGATTCTCTGCCCGTCCGCAGCCGGCAGGTCGATGTTCAGATCGCGCAGTGAATTCGTAGCAACCCAACCTCTTGCCAGCACGGACGCCAACACCGGGCACTGCGGTCCGTACCGGGCGTGCTCGGGGTACGGGCGATGTTGCCGCGGCGTGCGACCGACTATAGATGTGCCGTCACAATCGCGGCTGCCCAGCTGCGGGCCGCGACACGAGCGTGACATCGCAGCGCGGCTGCCTCGCCACTACTGGTGGCGCCATCTGGCGCGGTGGTGTGCCAGAGGAATACCCTTGGATATGATGGTGATTCGGCGGAACCTCATTTTATAGACGCGGTGGTCTATAGAATGGCCCTCCAGTGTATACCCAACGCAAACACGGCGCAAAACAGGGTCTATAAAAATGACCCACACAGGTTGTAGGAACAACAACGAAAAACAGTGTGCGTCATGGATGTCTTGGGTATATTCACTATGGAATGACCCGCCTGGGTCACCCGGAATGGTTGAGTTTCCCGATGGCATCATGCTGATGGATACCGTGCAGATTTGCCAAAACAGGAGCATACTATAAAATGGCCTGCGAGGGTACCTTTGAAAAATAGTAAAACTATGCAAGAAAACCGCGAGAGTGAGCCACAAAACCCAGCAACCCAGAAGCCATCTAAACCCCCGAACCCAGAAGCCCGCAACCCCGAAGCCTTAAACCCCGAACCCCGAGAGTGAGCCACAACACCCGGTAACCCACAAGCTGCAACCCAGCAGCCCTAAACCCCTGAACCCAGAAGACCGCAACCCCGAAACCCTAAACCCCGAAACCCCGAGAATGAGCCAAAAACCTACACGCCCGCAACCAAGAATCTCTAAACCCTAAACCAAACCCTCACCCCCGAAAACGCGAGACTGAGCCACAAAACCCCAAAACCTATATAAGCCGCAACCCAGAAAAACCTGGACCCCCAGACCCCGAAGCCCGCAACCACAAAATCAGCTCGGCAGAAGGAGAGCTCATGTGTGTGGACATGGGCAGCTGCCTCGTTGCCTCCGCCTATGCGCGCAAAGGTCAACAGGAGCCTTTCCTTGACCTTCTGGCACATGCTTTCCAAGGCGCGGCCCCAGCAGTTCCGATATTCATTGCTGGGGATTTCAATACGCAGGCGGGCGAAGCACACGTTTCAGGATTTCATACACAATGCGTTGGAGGAGTTCGGTGTGCAGTTCCTTCCAGATGGGATGGCAAAAGATGCATTGATTATGTTCTGTCGAATAGCCCGGAAAGCAGCACGCATCTCCGCTATGAAGAAACGGCAGTTTCAGATCACAAGATGCTCGCAGGAAACTTTGAGATTCCTGTGGAGCGTGCTGCGTTGTGGCAGTTCGCTCCCACTTTGCGGTATGCGAGGCCGGTGGAGTGTACTGTTGAGCAGTGGCAGTCCGCCGTGGCCGAGGCGTGGCCCAATCAAGTAGTGCATGACGTTGGAAGCACCGAAGCTGAATGGAAGTGGTTCAACTCCAAGCTTGAAGCAGCTTGTGCTAGCGCTATGCGGTCTACGTCAGGTGCTGGTCCGAAGTTCATTCCGGACTGGCGCCCGAAAGGCACGAAGCCTCGACTCATCCATCAGCGCTTTGATTTCTCGCATGCTCATCGTGGCACCTTCAGGTCACGACGTTTGGCCAACATCTTGGGTCGAACACGTGAAATCGTTCGCCAAATCAGAATTGGAAACCTCCCGCAGGCGTTGGTGAGCAAAACTTTGAAGTCGTGGCCAAACGATGTTCCTTTGCCTAGCTCCTGGGATGAACGCGAGCAAGTACTTGAACAAGCCCTCTCCAAAGAGCTTGGGGCCAAGAGTTTGCAGAGGATACAAAGCTGGCGGAGGCAGATGACATCTGGAGGGAGTGGAGCTACCAAGTGGCTCAAGGGCCAAACAACGTCACCGCCGAATGCTTTGTCTTATAAGGCAGGACAAACGACTCGAACCACCGCAACCGTGGAGGAGTCTTTGAAAGTCGTTAAGAAGTTCTGGCGAGAAGTCTGGGACAGGCCTCACGATGACGTTCATCGTGCCGTCACTCGATGGTCGCTTACAGGGGTTTCAGCAGACTTTCCGAACTTCGAGTTCACGGGGAAAGCACTGGCCGGCGCGGCATCCAAGTTGGCCAACACCGCCGCGGGCCCTGACGGATGGTCAGGCGATGAACTTGCGGCCATGCCGCGGGAAGTTTGGAACACCTATGCGCAACTGGTGGAGCGGTGGCGCGCTCGCAATCAGTGGCCGACTGCTTTTCAGCATGCGAGACAGATACACATTCCTAAGACGGAGATCCCGATTGAGAGCGCGTCATGCGATGTGAGCAAAATGAGGCCCATCACGATTCTCAACGGCTTGTATCGAATACTCGGCTCCGCTCTCGCGGCCGATCCCGAGGTCAAAGCATGGAGTGAAGCAATCTTTGATAGATCGCAGCATGGCGCAGTCAATAGCAGACATGTCATGACGGCATTGGCCTCCATCATGGATTCTTTCATGTGCGACAAGCACATTTTGATGAGTTTGGATTATAAGCAGTGTTTTGACAGAACCAGACCGTCGATTGCATTGCAAGTCATGGAGAAAGCTGGCATGGCAAACTGGATGGGTAGCATGTTGCGCCACGTCTGGATGGACCAGCACAGGTGGATCCAGCTCGACGGCTCGACTCTGACCGAGGTGCAGACTCTGGAAAGTAGCCTTCCGCAAGAGGATCCACTCAGTCCCCTTGCTCTCAACATCCTGATGTCGGCACCATTGCGTTCGCTTCGTGCCAGGCAACCTCGCTTGGCAGTCTGTTCATTTTTGGATGATCGCAATTTGACGGCTCCAAATGCTCGTGAAGCAAGGAAGGCGAAAGACCACTAGGATGAAGTGTCCAGAGATTTTGGTCTTCTGGAAAATGATGCTAAGCTCACGCTGGTTTGTCGTCGCGAGCAGGACAAGACAGAGCTTCAAAAGCAAGGCTTCAGCAGTCTCAACTTTGCCGATACGGCAAGAGTGCTTGGTGTGGATTTGTGCGCGAAAGCAACGCAGGCCCACAGACCTACCACCGAAAAGCGCCTGCGTGAGGCTGAAAGTGCTGCGTCGAGGCTCTCGCGAGCTAGCATCCCTGTCAAAGCCAAGCGAAGTCTATGGCGCACTCGTATCGTGCCTGTCGCCTCCTGGGGTCACTTGCTCAAGCGGCAAACCGTGAAGGAGTTGCGCCCGTTGCAGGCCAAGAAGAAGAAGTCGCTGCAAGAACATCGTATGGGAGCTGTGCCTTTACAGTGTCTTCTCGAAGGGCACTCCGCTGACGTTGCTTTTAGTGCGGGATGCGCCTCAGTCAATGCATTGTACAGAGCGCAAGTCTGGGGTGGACCGTGTCGTTCCACGCGTGCGCTTGCAGGCAGTTGGCTGGCTACAGCACGCAGTTTCATGAAGAGCCTGAACTTCACATCGAACGACCAATTCGGTTTAGGGGTTTGGTCTCATTGGGATCTTGGTGTACAGATTGATTTCAAAGTACTTGGACATGCTGAACAGTACAAGCATTTGCTACGTGAAGCTTGGAGACATCAGCTTTTTCATCGCTTTCTTGCGTTGAACCGCAGAGACGCTCGCAGCCTCCGCGGGCAGGTTGTGTACAGTGAGGCAGGTTGTGCCATGACGAGGCGCTTGTGGGAAGCTGCAGATGGTGATCAGCCTGCAGTTCTGGTTGGAGCTGCGCACTCACCTGCTTGCTATGCAGCAATGGGCGGTCTTCCTACTCCGCAGCGTTGTGAAATGTTGTGAAGCATGTGGTTTTCATGTAGTTCCGTCGTGGGATCATGTCGCGTGGCATTGTCAAGTGGATGCACCAGGACGCCCTGAAATACCAAGCGATGTCATGCAACGTCGCATGGGTTGGGTGCCTGCTGGATGTGGGATTGATAGAGCACGTGAGGTGCTGAGATGGCTTGCCTATGTGCGTCGCCGTCACTGGCGACAGATGTGACGCTAAGGACCGTGCCAAGCTTGATAGTCGTCGGAGGCTGCAAGCTCTCAAGCAGAACAAACGAAACCGCGAGAGTGAGCCACAGAACCCCTAAATAACCCAGAAGCACGCAACCCCCAAACCCTAAACCCAGAAGCCTGCAACCCCGAAACCTTCAACCCCGACGCGATCCGGGTGCGCGGGGGCACCGCCTGGCACCTCCCACGCACGGCGATTTGTGCCAGGCGGTGCCCCGGGCCCCGGCGCGGGGTAAAGGGCGAAATTGCGGGTTTACGGGCTGGGGGTTTGGGGCTTTGGGGGTTTTTGGGTTTAGGGGTCCAGGGCTCAAGTTTCCGGTGGCTTGCAGGGTTAAGGGTTCTGGGTCTAGGGTTTCTGGGTTGCGGGCTTCTGGGCTTGGGGATGTGGGGATTCTGCGTTTACGGGTTGTAAGCAAGGGTTCTGGGTTTACGGGGTTTAGGGGCTTCGGCTTTCTGGGCTGCGGGCTGCTTCGAGGTATAGGGGTTCCGGGTTTAGGAGTTTAGGGTTACGGGTTTGTGGCCACAGGGTTTCTAAACTTCCTGCTGCAATACACCATGACAAAACCTGTTGGGGCTATAAAATGGCTCCCTAGGGTCACCCGGAAAAAACGAGATGACAATGCACGGAACTACAATGCATGCCATCGTTTCCCCCTCCCGACCCGCTTCCGGCTATAAAATGACCCCCTGGGGGGCACCCCAGACTTTGGCAGGAAAACACAGCGAGTCTATAAAATGACTCGCCGGGGTTGTTGGAAAAGTTACAAACCAAATTTCCTTTATAAAATGACCCCCGGCTTACCCTGGAGAGCCATTTTTTTAGAGAACCAGTGTTGGTCATTTCGTAGAGCCATATCCAAGGGGGATCCAGAGGATGCCAGAGGCATTGTCGAGGCACTACAGTTCCCTCAATGCCTACTGCTTCACGGGCGACCAGCGCCCATGCATCTGCTAAGCATGCTCGAACAATCTCGAAGACCGGGGCTCGCCGAGCTGGCAAGCCATTGCAGCCATCGCATGCAGCGCGGTGACCGCCCAGTGCCGGCGTAAAGCGATGAGAAGCAATGAACATGTCGGGAAGCCTGGGATGTTGAGCTTGCTGGCGTGCTGGGAGCCATTTGGAACAAAAAATCCCTGTTCAAAGCAACTGACCTTCCGTTCGTTGGTATCTAACCTTCTGACCTTTTCGTTTTGGGAGCC